TTTTTTTTGAGACAGGATCTCACTACGTAGTTGAGCCTTGCCTTGAACTCACTATATAGCCCGGGCTGGGCTCAAACTCACAGTGATCCTCCTGCCTCAGCCTCCTGAGAGCTAAGATTACAGGTGTGCCCTACCATGCCTGGTGCTGGTATTTTCTTAATGTCATTAAGACATTAAGAGTGGAAAAGAAGCTGACATTAAGAGTGGAAAAAAGCTGTTGGGAGCTGGTAGAAGCTCTAAGGAGCCTACCCCACAAACATCACAGAGGTGGGGCTCTACTGGGTCCGCCTAATTCTTCCTTTGTTCTTCAGTACCTAGCTCAGTTCCAGGCACACAAAAGGGGGACAATAAAAATTATTAAATAAAAGAGAAGATGAAGCATTTCCATGTGATGGTCATTTATCTATTCTTCTACATTTTAATCCTGTTAAATTTTTCTCTAGGGAGGATAGATTAATTTGCTCAGGCCTAGTCTAGAAAGTACTGATCTATAAAGTACTGAGGATCCCACTCTGGATGGACATGCAATTTTTCCAGTTAAAGATGCAAATTGACCTGGGTGTGGCGGAGCATGCCTGTAATCCCAGCAGAAGGAGGCTGAGGCAGGAGGATGAAGAGTTCAAGTCCTTCCAGGCAAATTAGTGAGAGCCTGTCTTAAAGAAAAAAAATGAACAGAGGATATAGATCCTCTGGTATAGTGGATTGATAACTGGTGGTCAACTTATAACCTCCAGCTGAACTGAGTAAGCATGGTGCTGGGTGTGGGAGGCCCACCTGGGGATTATTGCCAGCAGCAAAAGAGGTAGAACTGGAGAAGGAGAAGGAGGCTGTTGGGAGCTGAGAGAGGCTGTTGGGAGCTGGTAGAAGCTCTAAGGAGCCATTGCTTGTTTTGGAGGAGCTCGTCATGCTGGCTTTCCTGATGAACTTGGCTGTTCTCATCCTCCAAGAGTGTGGAGCCTTGTTGGCACTGAGAATGGCTTCAGTTCACTTTGGGGGAGCTCTGGTCCTCACTCTGAGCATCGCTTTCTGGCTCTGGAGGGGAGGAAGGTGCATAGCTCAGTCTCCGGGAGAAGTTTGCTGCATTGGCTTTCCTGATGGGAACTCAGCTGTCTTTACCATCGGAGGAGCTCGGGACCTCACTGACACTGAGGATGGCTGTGGTACCTTTCGGGGGAGCGCTGGTTCTTACTTTGAGCATCGCTTCCTGGCTCCAGTGCGGATCCCTCAGCCTGCTAGCACAGATCCTTCATCCTGCTGGAACAGACTTCCTAGATTCCACCACTGACCTTTGGGCTTTCTCAGCACAGATCCATGAAACAGGTCTGCATGAGATGTTGTTGTGGGCTCTGCGCCTCCAGTTGGACTTGTGGGAGGCGCTGGTATGGGCTCGATGTCTTCAGCTGGACTCATGCAGTGGGATCCAGGCCCTTGGCTGGATTCTTGGGTCTTAGTGTGTGGACATATTTCCTGCACTCTCTTGTATATCATCCTTTGGGTGACTATTTTTTTTTTTGTTTTTGTCTGTTTGAGACAGGGTCTCGCTATGCGGTTCAGGCTGGCCTTGAGCTCACTTTGTAGCTGAGGCT